TTTTTTTTTCTCTCCCTTTTTTTCTTTTTTCTCCTTCTTGCTACTCCTGTAGTTTTCTCCATTTAACTTGTACGATTTCACGCGGGCCCGGGAATGGATAGGGTGTTATATATGGTTAATGTAACGAGCTGACAGCAGAGCTTTTCAGACGCGTTGCTTCATCCGGCCATCTGTTTGAGTTGGAGGAAAGAGCTGGAAGATTTCTTACTGTACAGATATATTAAGAGAAGTCAGAAAATTGGACATATGAACCTTTATATTTTCCATTAATAATACAGTAGTTTGATAGCAGTGTATAAATCACTGAGTTAGAACACTTTAAAATGAAGTTCTGGCACTCCCACCAGTTAAAGTAGCACTGTTATTTATAGATATTACATGAAGCCTGATGTTATGTTTAAGTGAGCGTTAAACAGTTCAGGCTGTTGTATTGTTGCTATGCACCGGAGAACCTCTGTCAAAGTGACTTTGGCACCGCTGCGTATCCGCCTTTCTCCCTTTGTCTTAAAAATCTTTCACTTGTGTTTGTAGTTATCCATGTGTTCAGCAATGGAACAGCCTATTGTTAGTGAAACAAGGGCAAAGTCACACTGGAATTTTTAGAAAGAAAAAGCCAGTTCTCTACCTTGCCTAAAACTTTGTTAAATATTAAACTGGCCATACCAAGGAGTTCAGTAAAAACAAACATTGAGGGCTTGCTAAACTTAAACCTAATAAAGTAGAAAGTTAATAGTCAGGTACAGAGTGTTTTGTCTTCTAGAAAAGGCAGCTATGACAATGCACAAGTGGAAATCAACGGTGCTTTGAAAGGTTTAACTAAAGAGAGAATGAAGGTGCAGACCTGCAGAACTCCAAAATTTAATCACAGAGGTCTTTTCAGTGACTTGAAGAGAATGTGAGCCTCTCTGACACTCAAGGTGAAATTGGTCCTGATGACATATATAATTCCTATGAATTGTCATGTTTTGATTATAATGTATTTATTTTTTATTATTTATTATCTATTTTATATTATTTATTATTATTACAGCTCTAATACTTCAGAGCCCCCCTGCAAGTTGCTGCACTCTATCCTACCGCATGCACAAGGGCCAGAAAATCTATAGTGAGATGCTGTGGGGAAGCTGGCGTTGCTCCCTGTCCCCTTCCTGTAGGTCATCTTTTGAAATCACATGCCTGTGAGCACTTTGCCAGACCTTGGGTACCAGCTCTGTGAGAACAGAGCTGCTGGTAGATCCAATAGTATGTATTTCTCCTTTCATGTGTGCTTGGTCTTTTCATCTTTTCATTGTTGAACCTCTCTACCCATTTTTAAAGGAACTTGGAAGCATAACTACCTCCTTACTGCAGCCTCTTTTCCCTACAACAAATCTGCAGTCCGCAGTATTTCCAAAGGAAGGCATCAGTTAGCAGCAACCCATCCCCAAGCTTTGATACCCAAGGGAGAAAGTAAAAAGCAAAGTATAAAGTACAAACTGCAGGAGGGCTCAGACTGATGGCCGGAGTTGAGAGGGTGAGAGACTTAGGCTGAGTGTGAGAATTTGTACCCACCTTGCTTTTACTTGCATGCCACAGTAAAAGCTCTGTTTGCAAGGGAAAAACCTGTGGAAATTTTCAGGGGCTGATGTTTTTCTTTAAATGATGCCTTTGTGTTTGAAAGCTAGAGGATCTGTTTAAGTAACCAAAAGTTAATAAGTAAATAAACAAGTTAGGCTTTTCCCACAGTAAAACAGAGCTTAGAACCAAATTCAGTCTGAAAAGTTTCAAAGGGAATAGGGAATAAAACGGAGGAAAAAATGCAGGAACTCTAACAGTTTTGTCTTCCTCCCTGTAATCCATGAAATCTTGCTTGATACAAGAATTGACTAGTTTTTAAACAAGGGGGGCTAGTCAGAAAAAATCAGTGTTCACTCTGAAAGAGAAAATATGCCTAATACTTGAAATTCTGTAACACCAGGTTGAACAAAGCTTAAAAAAAATAATGACAATACATATAGATTATAAGCAGGCGACTATTAGTGTTACAAACAAACAACAATAAAAACCCACTCACCACTATCAACAAAAAATGCTCTTTGTGTTGCAGTGAGAGTGATAAGCCTTTGCTAGAATTACTGGAGTGTTAATGGCATGCTTCTGGCCTACAGAAAGATACAAGTGGTCAATAAAATCTGTCTGCAGGCTGGTGTTCAGATGGTAATCATGAAGATAAAAGTCTGAGGCAAATCAAACAGTGAGAAAGAGATAGTGAAAAAAAAAGTCTTGTAGAACAACTGTAGGAGTTTTACAAAGAAACCAGTATAGTGTGTGTTCTGAAATAGCTATTAGTATATGTTACTGGTCTCTTTTCTGGTTTGGGCATTGAGCTTGAGTTCATCCACTTCAATTGAGATACAGTGGGTCCACCTGCCTTGACTAGTCCTCAATGCCCAATCTGTTATTGCTTAGGCCACAGCTTTTGCTTAACATAATATTAAGTTGCATATTTTATAGCATGGTTCATGCTTAAGAGAATTTTTGTTTTATCATAGGGTCATTGGTAAGCCAACATTGTCTCTCAAACTGACGAATAGTCATCTTCTCCTCTAGTAGTGCTTTAAGTAATTCAGGAATTACAGGTGATTTGTCTAACAACTCTTAGGAGAGTTTATACAGATAAATCCTGATCAGTAGTGATTTTAAAGCTGGGCAGTGTTCCAAGAAGCATTATTCATGAATACAACATTAATAGAAGCTGTAATGAGACCAAAGAAAAGAAAGGGGTTGTGGTGTTTATACTTATTCTTTCTTTAAGCAAGCTGAAGGGTGGTTACTATTGTTTTTTAACTACAAGGTGCAAACAAGAGCTAGCTGATGTTTTGGGATTCGGCAGATGAATGCATGTTAGCAGTATAATGGAAATTATATTGCAATTTGATTTATGAAGAAAACAATCTTCAAACAGGTTTTGTTTTAATGTGTATTTGTTTGTCTTCTTGTGAAACAGGACCTGAAAATTAGAAGGCAATGTGTGAAAATAGGAAAGTGCTATTCATCTTCAAAACTATTCTTCCACCATCTCCATTTTTATATCTTCCTAAGTTTTCAGGTTAGCAGCTATTTATCTAAAATGAACTACAGTAGCAGAGAGACTTGTTCAAGAGTGCATGCTTGTGAGCTGCATATTTCTGAATACTTTCTACTCATTGATGCTGAATGTCTTTATACTCAAGATGTTATACATTAATTATATATTATACATAGATAAGGGTCTTAATATTAAAAAACAAACAAACAAAAAAACCCAACATCCTAACAACTGGGAATATGGAATGCTTTTTGCTATTTCAAATACTGAAAGGCTTTAAAAAATATATCACTCTTAAAATGACTGATTTGAGAAAATTTGATGAACCAGACAGACAAAATAAGTGTGTGGCTGTTATATTACTTCTTCATACAGAGGAAAAAATAAGAAAAAGTAGGATCCGTGGACTAATACCAGGCATAATTACATTCCAAAAGTGTTGGTGTTAAAAGAGGCTGTGTTATCTTAGTGCACCGATATACAGGAGGATAACCTTTTTTTTTCTTTTAACTAGCATTCAATGGATTCATTTTATTAAATTGTGTAGTGTGCAGTAAGAAAATTCAACAGACACTGCAACCTCTTAGTATTCACTCTGACTCAAGTTTATCTGTGAACTAGTATGCTGCTCTGATCTGAGCAGGGACAGGCATTTGCATTTTTTTGATAGGGTAAAGATAGTGCGAAACAATTTTTTGTCTTATGCCTGGAAGATGATTTAAAAGGTAAGGGTGAAAGACTAGCACAGAGGATAATGGGTCCACAAACTCTAATTTTCCATAAAAAGTATTGGTGAAGCTACCTGCAGGTACCCTCACCGTATATTACAGTGTTGCATCTTTGCAACAGAAGCATTGTCACATGCTGTCAGACATGTCTGCAGTTGCTTGGTTGTTACTTTCTGACCAGTCACAGCTTAGTATCTCTTTTTGATTTACATGGCTTAATATGGTTGTAATAAATCCAGGACACAGAATAAACAATCATGGTTTTGCTTGCCTCTGATTACAAAAAAGACACTATGGAAACATGGGGTCGTTTAATGTCTGTTGTTGTTGGTGGTGTTTTTTTTGGCTTTGAAAAAGAATTCTCCACTTGATGGGAGTAACTACTCCCATAACCATCTACTGCTGTGATCTGTATGTCACCAAGGTAGACATATCTGTAGAGAAGAAAGAAAAGCAGAGAAGTGTTTGTTTCTTTATCACCCTTGGCAACAGGTCTATGCATTTCATTTTTGTAAACGCATTTTTCAAACTCCGTAAAAGCTTACGCCTATGACCTTAAAAACCAGAATGCAAATGCAAGTCTATGATGTATACACTTTTGGAAATGACTGGATTTTATGTCAGAGACACAGCTTTTCTGAAGGGATGTGTTTGATCCACTGTTGTAATGCTTCAGTTTGGCAGTGTTTAGTGAGCCAGCATAGTGTTTAAATTCGATTTAGAAATATGTTTTCCTTTTACAATACTGTATGTTAAGTTCCTATATGTGTTGTGTTGAATATATATTCTTATTTATTCTGTTGGTAACGATGGACGATCTTTTCTACTTAATGTAAAATGTTTTGAGCAGCTATGTTGTATTCTCTTGTTTCTGTTCATACACTGATATTCTTGGCTTTGGCTTTCGTATCTGAAGCAAAATAATGTCTTCACAGGTTGTACATTCTTTCACACGTTGAAATTTGTCCACTGCTTTTACAAGCTAGCTAAAACTGTTCTGTGTTATTTCATGTGTGTTTTGTAAGTACAAATTTACTGGTGGAGGAGGAAGGAAAAAGGTTTTATACTTTTTTTGCTTTAAGTAGGCAGGCATACACCAAGCTGGACAAAGATGTTGGACAAATTCTACCCTTTGCTTGTATTTCAGAATCATTTACTTGGTACTGAAAGACAGTTTCTAAATACTTTTGTCACTCCTTTTGCAGCTCCTGCCAGTGGACGGACATCAAATAGTATTAAAACATTTGGAACAACTGCTCCGAGTCAAAAGTTTGAAACAGCCCCTCAGCTAACAGAGCAGGACACATTGGTTCAGAGGGCAGAGCATATTCCAGCAGGAAAGCGTACTCCAATGTGTGCACAGTGCAATCAAGTCATTAGGTTTGTATCTACTCATCCTACAGGCTCTCTGATAGCAAAGCTTTCCTTTGCTTTCATTGATTTTGATTCCTTGGTCACAAGCATTGTATGGTTCCACTTCAGTAACAGAGAACACCAGTTTTGCATGTGTTTTATCTAGAAAACCTAAGAATGAGAGAAAAAAATGGAGGGAGAATATTGCAAATGTTGGAAAACACTGAAAACGTTGCAACAGTCACATCCTTGCCATGCATTTTACAGAGATTTAGAAAGCTGGGTGGAGTAGGACAAAAATAAAAGCAAAAGAGTAAGGTAGCTAGTTCTTGCTTTCACATCCTTGACAGTAAAACTGCAAAATGAGCAAGCTGGAAACAAATGAGAGTACAGGGAAACCAAATGCAGATAAACATCACAAATACCAATTTATTAACCAGAATTTCTAAATGAGAGGAGGAAAGATAGCAGGCTCAAACTATACAATATAAGTAAGGAATACAATTTTAACAATTGCTAGGACTTGTTTAGTAATAATTTCCTACTACATTTCAAGTTTCAAGGTCCTTTGTGGGCTCTCTGGCATTTGTGTAGTTAGTGTCCTTGACTTGTATAATATCAATGGAAAGGATTAATCAACAGAATACACAAAAATAAGTTTGCTAATTGACATAAATAATTTTTGTTCAATCTCCAATATATTCTATATTTAGTCAGAATTTCATATGGAGGAAGAAATGACTCTGGGCTACATTGTTCTGTCAGTGTGTTCTGAAAATTAGATGTGATTGTCTTACCACTTTTCATGTCAGTGTGCAAACCCTCCTCAATTTTCTGACTGGGATTTTGGAGGGATTATTAGATGAAATATATTCTTTTAAGATATCATCTTCTTGGTTGTTCAGTTGTCTCTGCTATTGAACTGCAAGAGCAAAGTAATGTACTGTAGTATTTATTTTTTTTCACTTGTGTCCCACATTTTCAGTGAACAACATCAGAGAGCATGCACTATATTTCACCACAGTTAAAGAAAGAAACTTGTTTGATTAGAAAAGTGAGCTCTATAAGATGTATAGATTTCACTCAGGATAATAGAAAATCAAGCTTTCTATGATGAATTTTTAAGGTTTCTTGAATCCTTACTTGAACTCTGCATCAGAAAATTCATCTGACTGATCACTTCTTTCTAGGGCTGAATCAAGTCCAACTTGTTGACTTCCATTAGATGTCTGTTCTGATATTTCACTACTAGCTCTATTAACATAAAGTTAATTTAGGGGATTATTTGCTAGCTCTTCTGTGAGTTCTGGAGAAGATTTTCCTATTTTAATTCTATATGACAAGGTAATAAAAATATATGATCTCAATCTCTTTGAAGCAACAGAAAAGAAAAAAAACAACATGATTTTTGAATGTAAATGTACCTGATCTCCAAACCTGATCTTATGCTTCACTGCAAAATGAAAGATTAGTATCAAAAAGGCCTTTTTCACTTTTTGGAAGAGATTCATCTGATAATTACCATATCCGTTTTTAGCATTCTGACTTCTTTATTCTCTGAGTGATGGAGAGCTTTGAATTCATCTAGTAAATACTATGTGAGAAAACGTATACTTTCATTTTTGTCATTAACATTTCCATTTAAAAGTAATACGAACACAGCACTTATACAATATGCATCTTTTATGCAGAAACTTCAGGCCCTTTACAGAACCTGTAGTTTACAGGGTTTGCTTATGCTCTGTACCGTAGGCTCTCACGGCACAGTCCACTTATCACTCCTGAGTGCTCTTCTCGGTACTTAAAACACAAACTGCTATTCCCTCCTTTAATCACCATTGAAAAGGAAATGAGCTTCAGCCCTGCGAGTAGGGGAGCGTAGTGGTCTAGGAGCAACCTTTGTTCCTTAGTGATCGCATATGGAGAAAGGAGTGAGCCCTACTTAACAGTACTTAAACCATTGCCACCTACTGAAAGTGACACCTCTTTATGAATAGTAGCTGATACTCATGTCTTTCCCTAAATTGTTGTCATTGTTTAAATCTTAATACTTCTTCATATGTTAAATGCCATCTCAATTATTAAAAGCAAGCATTGTTTCATTGTGGATGAGTTTTCATGTTAATCAATGTCAATTATACCAAATGTTCACAGTCTACAATGAATTTGAAAGACTGCAAAGGCATTTTGGTTTCAAGTTTTATCATAATTACAGTTCATGCCCTTAGTGGTCACATTACCTATGAAAAGGTAGGAGGAAGATTAAGTGACATCGCACTGTGCATCTGTTTTGAAGCCAGAATGTGTTGTGAAAATTGGTTACTTTACACTAAGGCATTGAATAACCGTGGCTAGTTAAGCTAAAACCAAAGGCATCTGATATCTTTTTAATATATCTTTAATTATTGATACAGTGATTGTATGAAGATTTCAAGTTCTTCCACAGCTTCAATAAGTAAACTTTTGTTTCCGTGTCTGTGAGTATCAAGTAGGAGGCAAACTAAATTTCTCTTGATCTGCTTGCTGTGTTAGTCTGATGAACTACTGACATTTTCTGATGAAGACTTCTGGTCATCAGGCAGTCTCACTGAGTGCTTCAGTGCAGAGTTCACTCTGCCTTTTAAGTCCAAAAGTGTTTTCCCTGTATCTCGTCTGAGAACGTTTCTTTAGTTTGTCTGCCTCTGAATGATTATTTGCTTTTGTCACCTTTTCATGGATCTTAATTATCTTAAAGGTACTAGGGAAAAAGTACAAATGGTGCTTCCCTTCAGCATCTCCCAAGTATTCATATCCCATCTCCCATATATCCATATCCCATTTCCATACACGTCATTATATACTATGATATTTTCAAATGAGGAGAAAAAGAATAGTTAACTACAAAACAATTGGTCTCACCAATTCACCAGATGTGGAAATCCTTTTGATCTTTCTACCACCAAATTTTAGTTCTGGATTTCTATCATAATCGAAGACACATGAGAAGCTAGATTATTGCCATACGTCAATACATCATGAACATATTGATAAAGTTATACATAGTTACAAATGGAAAAATACTGAAATTATCCTTACATTCTTTGTATATTACTTACTTTTTGTTCCAATTTGACCCTGTTTCATTGCTACATATGGGACCCAGATGTTATACATGGCTACCAAATATATGTACCTAGTGATCCTTTGGGACGTAACAGTATGTAACTACTGATGTAAATACACCAGAATCTCTTAAATAATAATAATAATAATAATAATAACAAAGTTACTACTGTTTGCCTCCATCTGTGGGTTTGGTTCATGTAGTCTTAGATGGTAATGTCAGCAGTTTACTTAGCATTTGAAGGTAGCTTGGAATGGAGGTGCATTCATAGCCAACTGTTTCTAGTTATGTTACCATTCCTTATCATCAACTGGAAGTAAGATGTTTTTTGAGCTCCACCTCTAGAATTTGACTAGTTTACTAAAAGATAGTTGACAGAAAGGGGTTGTTGTTTTTTTGTTAGTGTACACGAAAGGACGAAGTCATCTGTAGCCATCTTCCTAGCATTTCCTGCTCTGGGTACTTCCTATCAGGATGCGTGACTGTGCCAAATTAGGCATTTTAACTCCTTTTTGAATGAAAGCAGGGAAATAAATTCCTTTGATAACTGGAAGTTATCGTTTTGATCATGAAAGTATGCAGAGACTAGGAACACCTCCAAGTTCTGAATATCATGTTTTAGTTTTTTACATGGCAGGTGTTTATTTTTTTCCATTTTTTTTTTCTTCCCACATGCTTTGGGGAAGCTTTTAAGTAACAGACATCATTAAGCTGCAATGTCAGTTTGACATGTTTAAACTATGGCCTGATTAAAAGTGAAATCACATTTAGAAAGTGCTCCTCTGGACATATGTGCAGAGGGAGCAAGCGTGCTAATGGAACACCTAGGAAACATTGTGCAGGGCACAGCCACGGCTTCCTGGGGACTTTTGGGAATGAAACTCTGTAGATGCACTCTTGCGCACTTTCCATCTGGGGTCCTACATGATGTCTTGAATGGCTAACCTCAATATGTCAGAATTGTAAACTGTGGAGAGCTAAATGTTGCAGATGTTGTAAAAATTCCTTCCCCTCTGGTCGCTAGCATGCTTTCTTTCCATTTCATAACTAACCAGGCCTATCATTGCAGTGCAGATGGCCAGAAACTCAATCCTGCCTGTAGCACAGGGAGAGCCTCTTCAATGTCAGTCCTGTCTTAATGAATCTATTAAATTAGCCTGTGCTGACACTGCACCAGGAGAATACTTTGTTGTACACAAGGACTTGTATTGTTTGATCGGTACATAACTGAAAGGGCACTGATGCAGGAAGGTGCTTGTATGGCAGCAGGAGGGTATCAGGTTAGGTCAGTGTTTGCACTGCTCAGGCATCCACTGGGATCCCCAGGCTCACTCCTTGAGGGCTGAGAGCTACTCCAGGAGTTGTTTCACTGCTCTCTTTATGATAATGAGAGGTGAATGGAAGAAACTGCTTCAGTATCTTCTTCATTGCAGCATACACATGAATCCTAAATCTGCTTCAGTTTTTCTGTCTTTGACTTCCCCTTCTGTTGAAAATATATAACATCTCCAGAGAAAACACAGAAAAGAAACAAAAATAATTATCTGTTCCTCTCAGGGACATCACCCTCTGCTCATTTATTTTCTCATCTAATGATCAGCATAACCCTGGAAACAAATTTTAAGGTTTTTGTTTCTATTGTTGTCATTTCTTTGCTCATAGGAGAATGTTTATCTTATACAAAAACATTTTTGTTTCTTATTCGGTTTCCATAATTGGTTAGCAAATAGGGTGGTGACACTAGCTAATACTTTTCACTTCTTCTGCAATGAAGTATTAGATCAGGAAAAAAACCCTGACGTGTTACTGTAAGAATGGTATCTTTATTAGTGGTATCACAGAAGTGTGACATTTGATGAGAGAAATGAGCTTGAGCCACAGTGTTCACTTAAAACCTAAATTCTGAAAGGTTGAGTGTTGGCGGGACTCTGGAGGCACCTCATTAAAGTAAATATTTTGGTTAAAGAAATTAAGCATGCTGATTATGTTTTCAGCTGAATGCTGATGCAGTGATATATGCCAGAGATTTATGACTTAAAAACTAAGATGTTTGTTTGCATAGAAATGGCAGATTTCATTTTGTGCATTAACCATATTGCATTTGCCAGACAAATGCTTTGTGTCTGGGGGGAGGGGAAGCGGGAAGAACTTCTGTTCTTGGAGAAAATGGTCCAATATTAATTAGCTTCTGGGGAAAACAAGCAAACACACAAAAAGCAACTGAGTGGTCTATCTTGCAAAAAAATTGTTGTATAAGGACAGCTATGGAATTTTTGTTTTACAAGAAAAAGTTGTAATTGGCTCTCAATGGAGTCAAGGGTACTTTAACATTTGTGGCCTTGATAAAATTACATGCTGGAAGAGAGCTGATGTTATCACTGAGTCTCTTTGCAGTAGATAGAAACAGCTGGGAACATAGAACATTTTTATTTTTTCTTTTCTTTTTTTTCTTTTCCTTAGTAGCCACTTCAGCATTGTATTCAATGCAATACTAAAACAGGATTTCTGAAACGCCACGAAGTGAAAAGAATTAGTCATTACTGGGGTCATGAGTCTCTGGGAGATAGTACTATGTGAATAGCAGTAGTCGACACTTGGCACTTTCTCACAATCCCATCCAAAGGAAGAGGCGTGGAGCAATACCATATTGTGAACAGTGCCATGGTGTTGCAGAGGTAAATTAAAAGCATCAGCAGGAATCACTTCAATGACATTTGCTAACTAATCTTTTCTTCCTAACAAGAGGACCTTTCTTGGTGGCCTTGGGGAAGTCATGGCACCCAGAGGAATTTAACTGTGCTCACTGCAAAACTTCCATGGCTTACATTGGATTTGTGGAAGAGAAAGGGGCTCTGTACTGTGAGGTCTGCTATGAGAAGTTCTTCGCTCCTGAGTGTTCTAAGTGCCAGAGGAAGATCCTTGGAGTAAGTGATCAGAGGCTAACCCAAACTTTAACCCAAACTTTAGTGGGAGCATTAACTACTGTGTTCGCTGCATTTCATTAATGAAAGTCTGTATTCCTCCAAATGTACCCTGGCATACCTCTTATGTTCCCATCACATATGGAGCATGTATATGTATTTATAAGCATATATTAAATATTGAGCCTTTTCAGTCTCTCTCTAACATTCTGATAGTGGTATAGTCTCATTTGATCTTTCAAATTAAGCCCCTGTTTTCATTAATCTGTTCTGTAACTGTTTGCTATTACTAGATTTTCTTGAACAGAATGCTTTTAATTGGCAGCTCTTTACAGAAATGGAGGAAAAAAAGAAAGGAAAATAAATAATCCTCCTTAACCAAACTGAACACTGGAAAACACACTGGTTGGCTAGACTTGAAATAGTGAAATATTCCCTATGGTAATGCTAATAGAAAGATGCATTATTCCACTCGGCACTAATATTACTAATTTGAGCCCGCCAGCTCATTGCTCTCTGCTGTATTGCAGAAAATGGCATGTCTGTACTCTTATGCAACTGGGGTCATGCAGGGCTTTGGCAGCATGGTTCTCAAGTCATATTTGGCATTATATTGTCTTCCAAAACAACACAGAGCAGTAATAATTTTCCGCATGATAATTTATGATTAACTATTCACAGGCTTCATGAGATGTCAAAGATGCTTCTTTTCGTACTTCAGGGGACTGTTGTAGATAAGATCCTAAGTAAGATGAAGAAGGGGAACAAATGAGTTGTTAAATATGTCAGGCTCTTCATTTTTTGGTAGGTTCATGTAGAATTGTTTCTGACAAATAAGGAAATGTGCCATAAATAAATCACTACATAGAATTAAACGTCAGCAGAAACTGCATGCACAGTGTTCAAAGTAGCAGTAGGAAGCAAAGTATTCTTGAAACATAAGCGTGGAAGCACTGTCACCACAATCTAGTCGTCACATCAAAATAATGTGTTAATAACTCTCTTTCTAATCCCCACAGGAAGTAATAAATGCTTTGAAACAAACTTGGCATGTTTCCTGCTTCGTGTGTGTGGCCTGTCATAACCCCATCCGCAATAATGTCTTCCACTTAGAAGATGGTGATCCCTACTGTGAGACGGGTAAGAAGTAACACAAGCAAAGATTAGTGCAGCTGTGCAAAGAAACAGCTTAATCAGGTTTAAAAAATAATCTTTCTTTTTCAAGCTTCACTTTGGTATAGAAAAGCAAATTCGTATAACTTTGAAATTTCATTTCATGCTAACAATAAATGTAGTAGACACTTAAAGTTTGCAGTGGGTTTCTTTTGCAGAGAAGATAGTAAGAATATATTCATTGGTTTCAGTAGGAGCAGGCTTCATGTCATTGGTTTTACTTGTTATTTCTGTTAAGTTCTCAACTGTAGGTATCAGTGATACAGCAAAGCATTTTGAGTTGATTTTCTGGTTGGCTTTAAAATAGTTTATGTTGATCTGCTTATTTACTAAATGAGCAAATATCTGTAGAGCAATGTGCTTTTCTTTGAATAGCCTTATTCACAGTGGGGAGGCTACTTCCAAGAGCAAGCAGTCTGCCCAGGAAGTGTTTGCAGATTCAGGGATAACGTCTGTGAAACATAAGCTTAGGATAAAAATAAAAAAAATAAATTAGGACACTGGGAGAAAAATACAGTGATAAGAGTATAGCATATGAAAGCCTGTTGAGCTGTAATATGTGAAAAATGTGGCAAAGAAATTCAGGGTTTGTTTTTTTGTTTTGTTTTGTTTTGTTTTGTTAGCACTTCCAGCTAATTGTATCTTTTTCTATGATTAATATGAACATTTTTCATTTGTATCAATTTCTTCGTTTTCTTAAAACTTCACTTGTGCTATTTTGTGCTAGGGCAGAAATAGATGTCATTTGTAAAACAGTTCCATGTAGAAGAAAAACCATATATTAAAATTGTCTATTTTTGCACTGTGCATTATTTACATCTCTGTCAGAATTGCCAGACAAAGTTTTTCCGTGTTTTTCCTTTACTGTAAGGAGCATTGTATTTTTACCAAGTGGCGGAAGTAGTTTGGGAAGAAATCAAGTTTGAAATCCTAGTAAATTATTTGAAGCTGAGATTTTCTTCCAAGCTGATCCCACAGCTGTTCAAAGTGGGTGCTATGAAGAATAATAGACACTGACTGGGTGAAGAAGGCAGGCAAAATTTATCCATATTTTCTGTTGGAGCAGGTTTGATGAGGTGTTGGCGGATGTGAAAGGACAAAGTAGGTTACTGCTAATTCAGTTACACAAGTAGGGTAACATGTTGCTCCTATTGGATTTGTGGAGCAGCACAGGAAATGGATACACAAGCAGCATCCTCCAGTGTGACAGCATGGTGAAATTTCATCCTGAAGCTGTCTGAAGCCCCTGATCTTGGAGCTCTTTGATGATTCAAAAATAGTACCAGAGGGATCGATTACTCCCCTTTGGGTGGAAAGCTCATGACTGGGTTTGTTCTGCTAACACTGAATTCTTGTTCCTCTCACCAAATGACCCATGTGTTGTGCAGTGCATTGATTTGTGCTACTGTTACAGCTCCCTTGCACAAAATGCATGCTTTTCTTTGCTCCAAGCAGGAAACATGGATAAAAGGTCAAGATTATACTATTTGTGAAATTTATTTCTGAGATAAAAGGTCCTGGTGCAAGTTAAGGCAGACACGTTCTGCAAGATACTGTTGACAGTGATGTGCTGTGGTGGCTCTGGCTCTCTAACCTAGATGTTAATTTGAGATGTATTCGTTCTTCAAAGACTTTCAGTCCAGCTGGAGTTAAGGACCTGAAACTAATTTTAAAGGAACAGGGAGTAAATGTCATTGCCAAATTGCCTTCTTCCTAATGCAATGAAGGGCTCTAATTTTAAATTTGTATTTGAAATTGTCACACTGACGGTTATTAGTATGAGGGAGCTTTAATCTGCAAAAAGTTCAATTTTATTTTCTTTTATTTGAGTGCTAAAATTTAATTAAACGTGCAGATGTCTACAACTTTAAAATATCGCAGTGCAGAGTTAGTAACCTAGTTTTGAAAATGCTGCATGCAGGAAGCACTGTATTATTATGTGATAAGTGTGTTGGAAGACTTCTGTGGTATCGCAGTTTAAGCATGTGAAAGCCAAAGAAAGCTGATGCCCTTCATTCTGCCTTATCTATTGCTCTTTCTTTGGAAGAAAAGCCATTAAATTTAGTAACACAAACTATAGTGCACATTACAAAATGTTGTAATGGCTGGCACCAGGAAAATATCAGTAGAAGTTTGTGTGAACATGAATGTGAAGAGCTGAGATAGCATGATCATGAGACCTTGCCCTTCAGAGGTTTTGGAGTTATTCTACCATTTGATATTTTCACTATCTGTTGTCTTCTTGTCATTTCCAAATTCATTCCAACAGCATAGATTAAGGAACAAGATTGGTGAAGGTGTTCCTTGCTGCTGGTAGCTTTTCTTGTCCAGGTGGTGCTCTTTGAGGTCACTACAGAAAACACTGTTTTACTGAACTGAAAGAGGACTCTCCCAGTGCTGGGCACACATGATAAACCTCTGTTGTCACTGCAGCAATTAACACTATGGCATATATCTCTCAATAATGAAGTAAAAGAACAGAATCTCCTTGTATCCTCCTTGCTACTCCTTAAAAGGCTTCTTGATGAAGGGCCTCAATATCTGATTTCCCTGGAAGTGCTGGAGTGTTACTATAAAGGGTGCAGTTAAAACCTTCATTAGGGTTGTCACTTTATAATCCATTTTATGAAGATGTAATATTATGTGACATTATGCATTTGGCATGACAGCATGCTGATCACATTTTTTTTCATGTTAGAGCCGTAGTGCTGTTGTGTTCTGTGCAGGAAAAAGCATTGAAAGTAGAAATAAACAGGAAAGACCAGACAACTTGAATTGAAGTTTAGATCTGCACAGGTTGGAAGTGGAGGGCTGCAGTGCCTCATGGTCCATGATATAGGTCTGTACAGAGAAGCAACATTCCTATGCAGAGGGATTGTGAGGATATGGAAGGTTGTATGTGCCTCCCGCCCAACTTCATACATATCTCTTGCCCTGCTCTCTCTTTTTCAAGCTGTCCGCTGCCTTAAAAATAATGGTATGAATACTTTCCAAACACTAGTTGCTAATAACCATCCAGATACCATAGTGGTACTTTTTGGTAAATGCAATAAGTATACTGGCTAAAGGCTCTGGATTTTGTTTGAGTTTTAAAGATCCATGAAATAAGCTCTAGTGACTAGAAGACTCCTCTGACTTGTTATACATTACTAGATTCTGTTTAGGATGGGAGGCTAAATATTGTATGATTTTGTGTAAAACAATCTCGGATAAATATTGTGCCAGATTGTGAGCAAAGAGGTTTGTCATGTAAGGAGGCAGCATGAAACCAGGGCATGCTTTCAAAGCAGAATCTGAGAGAACATAAGTAGCAGGCAGGGTCTGCACTGGTCCCCTGCAGGGAGTGCATTCCCCCTCCTGCTGAGCACTCTATTGTTCTCAAGGAAATGAAACACCAAGGAGATGGAAGCAGTGCTCATTTTGCTCAGTTGAAAGGATAAGAAGGGGAAGAGAACTGAATCGCCAATGAAAGGAGGATATCCCTTTCTTTCAGTCTAGGTCCTCTTTATACTGTGTACCTAATATTACAAAACTCAGTGAGTGCAGACCCACTGCCATTGAAAGAAAAGCACAAAGATTTCTAGGGGTCAGTCTTGCTTTTCTGTGTATACTTCATCTTAAAAATTTGTGTTTGATGCAGATTACTATGCCCTCTTCGGTACTATGTGCCACGGCTGTGAATTCCCCATTGAAGCTGGAGACAGGTTCCTTGAAGCCCTGGGCCACACTTGGCATGACACTTGCTTTGTATGTTCGGTAAGTAAAGCTATTCTACTTTTTAAACAAACCCATGGCGGCAGTACTTGTGCTAACCTGACTGATATGGGATTTACAGCTAAAATGCCTTTCAGTCTTCAGAACCCAAACAAAAAGCACTTTCACAGTTATTTGGAAGGTATGTTGCTATTGTGAGCCTTTGGCACCAGTCCAGATGCTTTGGCCTGAGTTGCAGCCCTGTGTCCTAGCATTTAACCCTTGACATTTACTTCCCTAAAATGAACGTTGAAGGCCATAAAGGAACAGGCTGCATTTCTTAGCTATCAAGAGTGCTTCTGACATAAAGACACTGTAGCCAACGTATGACCTTCTAATATTCTGTGGCATATACTCTCTCTCTTTCTCTCTCTCACACACACACATGTCAAAATCCAGTTGGTGGAATAAATTTTTGTAAATGCTGCTCCAAGTTAAGAACCTATTGACTTAAAGAAGAAGGCTATGCTTTCATTGACCATTAACTTTGCATCACAGAGAATACCCCTGAGAAATATGGTAATAATTGTTAGGTTTTGAATATACTTTTGCATACTACAGTGCCATGACTAGGCATTCTGAATAATGTGTAGTGCAATTCATCCATCTGAATTGGGTGTTGTTTTCTTTCTGATCCCATTTCAGGTATGTAATGACAGTTTGGAGGGTCAGACTTTCTTCTCCAAGAAGGACAAGCCACTCTGCAAGAAACATGCTCACTCTATCAACATCTGATTCTTTGCAGCTCATCTTGTTTAGCGAATGTACTGAGCAGAAGGAAAGGTCAAAATGTCCATGTTCAATAATTGGTTAAAATTATTTATGTATGCTATGGTAAAAATGGAAGAGAAATGTGGAAAGTTTAGGTGTTTGTATGCTATTTTTAAAGTCTTTATCAGTTAGGGATTTGCTTCATAAAAAGATGGGAACTGGGAATCAAACCCAAGCCAAACTATTAGAGTGCCTTTACATCTGCACTTGGCATTTTACTGGGTTCATGACTTTATGACCACATTTATATATACTTACATACGAGAAGGGAAACTTCTCTAAAAATAAATACCTGATACTTATGTGTTGGTATTGCTGCTGTTCAACAAACAAAAGGCGATTAGCTTCAGTGATCCAGATCACTTTATTTTGCTGTTGTTTTTTAAAGTGTATCTAGAAGTACTGAAGCTAAACTCCATTAAAAAGGAACTCACAGCAAAAATAGGCTTACTTGGTATGTATGCAGTTCAACAACTGATAATTTCATCTGCGCCTTTAGCAGTGAAGTCTCTGATGGGCCTGCAGAGTACGTATGTTTTTACAAAGCAAATAAGTGTAGGTGGCTACGCGAGCAAACAGGAGTGACTTAGAAGAGGCCACTTGAAAGAAAGCGTAGATGGCATGTACTACCAGAACACTAGCCAAAACAAAGTGCTAGTTGAGGTGCATTTGACAAGACAGAAATGTCAGATCAGATCTTCAGTATAAGGAAGTGGGAGTCTTCTGTTCACAGCTGAAGTTTTAAGAAGTTTTCAGTACGTCGGGAAGGAAATCACATTGAATCTATGCATAAAAGTGTTTATAACTTGAATGTGATGCTTTGGTGTTTAATGAGGGAAACTTCTGAAATGCCACTGAGGACATTGTTTTTCTCTTAGTACACTATTTATGACGTAGCTTATAAATACATATATAGGTGGTGTGCCAGGTAGTGTACTGAAAACTTATTTTCTTGCTCTACTGTTATGATTTTTATTAGTTTTGCTTTTTTTCTCTCCTTTCCAGCAGATGCAAGGAATATATTGTTAAATAATGTAACATTGAGTCAGGCAGTCCAGTATTTCTTAGTTCTTGCAGGGGAAAGGAGACAATACTGCCATTATGCATTTATTGCAAGCCAGGAGATTTTGCCAATCCTGTATGAATTTCACTTCCACAAAGAGAGTCAGCACGAAACCTGTGCACCAGCTAATTTGCACTTGTCTTCAAATTAGGGCTCAAGTGGTATGGAGTAATAGTAAGTATATAGGGGAGGGGTGATGACCCTCTGCACGGGGTGAATTTACTCCAGCAGAGTTGCACAGCAGAGGATGCCCTCCTGGGGCAATATTAGATTTCTGATGCAAAACATTTATGTGCTATTAAATTCAACTGGGATTTTAGAGCTGAATTTTGTTAGGCTTTAGTGCCCTTTCGAATACACATTCAAAATGACCATTTGACCATTTACTCGGCAGGTTTTTTGTTTGATTTCTTTTTTTTTGTTTGGATTTTTGTTGTTGCTGTTTGTTTTTTTAAATGATTAAAAAAAAAAGTTTAGACATAAAGTCATGGGAAAAAATACAAAAAATTACTATGGTTGAGTAAGAGGGAAAGTCAACAAAAGAGGAGGGGAAAATGCACCAAAATTGCTGTACTGAAAGATGGGAAGGTATTTCTTTATAATTCAGTTAAACGGATTCACACGATGGGCTGTTTCACTTTATTTCCTGAGGATATTTTTCTTTAATACTACTGTTTCATTTTTAACTTCTGGTGGTATGGAAGAAATGTCACAAAGCTGTTTAAGGTGTTTATACTATTATAGATGTACCCTTCTGTGAGTCTGGCTGAAAATCAAAAGGGTGGAAGCTGAATGGATGAGATAACAGCAATGTGAGCCAGCTTACTTTTGAAAAAAGTGGAATGTGGGAAAACAAGACCTAAGAGCTAGGTGTCCATACAGCTATATTGCACATGTTTGAGGGGAGAGGATAGGAATGCACAGGGTAAGGTGGTATTTTCTGCAGTTCAAACTTGGCTATTTCGAAGTAGGATAGAAGCTCGTCAATGGGCACAAAGTTTGTCAATATTCTTAAGTCAATTTGATTTTTTTTCCTTTTTTCTTCTTTTTTTTTAATTTTAGGTTCATAATTTTTATTGGATTTATATTTCTTAATTCATATGCTCTAGCATTTGAACTTTCACAGTTAGTGAATTTGAGGACAAGTGCCTGAAAGGCTCCAGTAGGACTGCTTCATTTAGCTGCTTTGTGTTTTAGCTTTTGCTATGTTTATTTGTTTAAAATTTAAAAAGGAAGCATAGAATCACTGATATATAATGAATATTTAATGGCTCTCTCAAATTATCTAAATCAACTAAGACAAAAAGGAACATATTGTTTATTGTTATTTTAATAAGTGAGATTTTAGTAGAGCACTTTATAATAATGCCATATATCTCACTGAATATTTATTACTTTTTTGTTGTTTAGGACTATTTCATACTGATTGTTTTATTTGTCAGCCTGCATACTTATCTCTGGAATCTTTTTGCGTGTCAATTTGTGTGTATTTATGTATACTTACCTAGGTATGCACATGTGTGTACATTGAGACATACATATTTGTGCGCATAAGCATACATATATTTGATCAAAGACTTGACATAGCAAAAATCAGAGCAGTTTCATTATCATTTGATTTTGCTTGTTTGTTTTTAAAATTCCCAGCTTCATAAAATAGATCTATAGCATTCATGTTTTGAGGGATAGTTAGAAAGTCAGGAACCTCTTGTTAGTAACCTAACTCCTGTAGGCTTTTGCATGCATTTTCAGCCAGTAATTCCTTTTTTCTTCCAAAACTGTGTCAAGAGAATTGGATTTAACTCTGTTTGAAGTTAGAAGATCTTTATAACAAAATAATTGGATCATGATGAGTGTTTCAGTAAATTGTAACTAAATGATTCAGAGTTATGTGTAAATATAATAAATGCTTAATATAACAATGCAATAAACTTATAAACAAAAGTTAAGTAATGGTTCATTATGTGTCTGTCTGTTCAGCTGCACACCTGTCTCCTTATGGAGCTACTTGCAAATGAGTAAGAAGGGGAAATACATCCATTCACAGACTAATTTCTTGCATTTCTTTTTTTTTTATTATTTTTTATTGTTTTACTCTGAACAGTCTGCTGTTTTTTCCTGCCGATTTGCTTGTTTGTCTTTAAAAGGTTTGAGCATTGCATTTTTGGCTGTTCATATTTGGAAATTTAATAATATATTTTTTAAAAGCCACAAACAAAAAGCATAAAAAACAGAACTTGCTATCTGTCTGTGGTTGTTTTGCAGTTGCTGGACTTTTGTTTTGATTCAGTCAGTAAAAGAAAGTCATGACTATACACACGAATAAATATCATTTGAGCTGCTTATTCTTCAAGTAAGATTGAAGGTTTTTTTGCACAAAAAAGAACCTGGGGTTTCTGGTGGACAGCAAGTTGACCATGAAGCCAGTGCAATGTCCTTGTGAAAAGACCACTGCCTTTCTGGGACACACTAGGCAGACCCTTGCCAACAGGTCAAGGAAGGTGAGCTGCCTTCTCTGTTCAGCCTTGGTGACACACTAGGGGTGCTGGGCTCACCAGTACAAGGGAGATATACACACACACTGGAGTCCAGTGAGAAGCTACAAAAATGATGAAAGATTTAGAGCATGGTTGAGTGATGAAACTAGGTAGGTCAGGTTGGTGATTGAGCTTGATGATCTTGAAGGTCTTTTCCAACTCAAATGATTCTACAGTTCTGTCTCTCCTCTGGGGAGGGGCTGAGATAGATGGGATAGTTCCTCCTGGAGAGGAGAAGGCTCAGGGATCTTACCAACATGGATAAATACCTGATGGGGGGAGTAAAGATGATGGAGCCAGGTCCTGCTCCCTGGTATCTTGTGACAAGGAACTGTGGCTGGTCAGGCACTGTCACAGGTTGCGCAAGGAGGTTGTGGAGTTATCTGTCCTTGAACATTTGCAAAACATGACTGATCGTGGTTGCCTGCTCTGAACAGGGGATTAGACAAGGTCCCTTCATTTCGAAAGGTAGACGGACAAAGACACACCCTTCCAAGCCTTGGAGTGATTGATTCTCCATCTTCAAAAGTTGGAAGTAAGTACTGAACACTGTGAAATATGTAACAATGTAAAACTCAGATTTGGCCGATTGCTATTTATTTGCACCGTTTACTTTTATTCCACCACCCAGATAGAATACTTTACAACGTTTGTTTAAAAGTGTTTTATATTTTTATATGTTAAGACTGTTCAAGGCAATACTCTGACTCTGACAAGCGCTATCTGATGCTGTACTTAGCCTTGGCACAAAGCTTTCTCTGCTTTCATTGCAGGATTCTTAGCCATCAAGTATAACATGGCCAATTACTTCATGATAACACTGGTCTCATAAGACTTTCCCTAGCCGAATCTCTCTTAACTAGGCAAAAGTGCTGTTATTTTCTACCTTTGTTTACACAAGCAAAGGAAAACACTGCACGTAGCTCTATAAAATTTAGAGGCAACTTTACAGAAAACTTGCCTCCCCTTCAGCGTTTAGGCTATGAATGAGACAAATGCAAGTCTATTTGCAAACAGTATATTAAACTCCAGAAGCCAAACTTTTAAAGGCATCAGGTCTGCATTTGACGTTTTAATAGCAAAGGTTTGGTTTCTATCAATCACAACGTCATGTAACATTTAAATGCACCGACAAAAATAAGAAATCTGTCATTCATTCATTAAAACACTGTAATCCTGTGTAAGATTTATAGGCTTAAAACTCAACAGTGTGTTTTCACAGTAAATCCACTTTCACTGCTCAGCACAGAACAAATCTCTCTGTCACTCAAAATGTTTGCTGGTCAAAATGCACTGTATGAGATCTTCAAAGGGTTTCTCACAAAATTGCATATAAATCCTTTTACCAGCAAAGGCTCAATTTAGGTTTGAGTTTTACTTTCTCAGGACATTGGCTAATATCTTGTTCTCAGACAAGATCTTGGTTATATCAAAAACACGTAGGGCCTAATTTATTATTAGTGGTCTGGTGTTAATTAGGGGGAATTACCAGAAATAGTTTGCTTGATGGAAATTTATTATGGGATCACACTTTACTGATGGCAAAATAGGAGTCACTGAAAGAGTGCAGCTCCTTCTCATAACCAACTAATTAATAAGGTGCCAAAATTCCTCTGAGAAAGGGTTTGGTCCTAACTATGGGAACCTCACAGAGCAAATGGTTCCTATGCAGTATTTAAAATTTAAAGGAGGAAAAGAAAGGAGAAAGAGCTGCCCAGCAGAACTCTCAAAGTGGTATGGCTTTTTCTTGAATTTATGAGAGAAAATATTTAGCTGTGCTTCTAACTTCTCATTAAAGAATTGCTTTTCCCAGACAAAAAAACAAAACAAAAAACAGCAGCAAGTTTATCATCTCATTTGGAATTCCTGAACTTGGTTTGCAGTTTCCCTTGTACATACTGCACACTACAGGTCATGATTTCATGAACTAGTTTATAACAAGCTTTTGTATTGCTCTTTATTACTGCTTCTACTGTTCATCCTTTGCCAAGAAAGTTGACATAGATAGGAAATTTGTGCTTATGACTGAAAAAAATAGGGCAAAGTACTCAGCTCTGTGATAAGGCCAAATATAGCATGTCTATGGCAGTTTGGGGATAGAAAACCACTGTCTGTTCTTAATGGTTACAGGAAAGTCTTGTACCAGAATGGCAAATTATAATAGTATGGAGCACAAGCAAAATATCTCTAAAGAAATTTAAAATCACTGTACTAAAACTTATATGTGGCTCTCTTGGAAAAAATATCTTCCACAAGAATTTTTTCCAAAATATGTAAGATAGCAAGGTGTGCAAGTTGTAATAAAACACTTCTGTATTTGCACTGAAAAAATCTTCAGCTCTTTAAAAAATCTTCTTCTTCTTTTTTTTTTTTTTTTCTGGATTCCTACTATACTCTGAAAATATGTATTGTCACATTGTATTCTGAGTAGGGCTCATATTTTCCACAGTATCACAGTTAACTCCTGTTCAGTATTCAAGCCTTTGCCTCACTTTTTCTTACTACTGGGCAGTGCTATTGTTTGTTTTAAAATATTTCAGCACAAGATAATCCTGTCAAGGTGTGTCCTTTGTTTGTCTTCGTGATGCATCAACGAAATGTCAAATGTTCCTTTAGCAAATATAAACTTCCACTAAATGTTGGCACACTTTCCAAAGCATCAAGTTTTCCCACCCAGAAGTTTCCACTGGAAAAGTAACTTAATATACCAGATCAAAGTAGTAATTACATCCCACATAAACTCTTTCCCTTGAAACCTATCAGGTAAAAGAAAAGCATTTAAGTGCAAATGTAGCATTACATTCATTGATAACCTAGGTGAATACAGCCTCACTTATTTCAACTTAACCCCCTTCCAAATAAAATAGAACTAGTATCAAAGCTATATTAACTTTATCATTTTCTTTCCCCAGTTAGTGAGATCAAAATTAAATGGGATGTGGGCCCTTGGTTTTAATGAGGTTTCCATTAATGTCACAAAAGCTATTCAAAGGAAAGCTGACAAAGAGTTGAGTACCACAGCATCCAAAAGTAAGTCATTCTAAAGAGTTTTTGTGACACATACTGCAGTAACTTACCTACTTCTGCTGTGTGCGAAGAACAAATAATACTTTATAAAGCAAGACTTTTATTTTTATTTTTCACAGAGAAGACCTGCTTGTTTTTGTATATGCCTGTTTCTGGAGACAAACGAGGGTATAAAATAGAGTACATTAACATTCACAGCACCTATGGTCCAACCTATGATTTACCATGATTTTCTTTAAGTAAACCAAGTGCAGTCAATCTGTTGTATCACTTTTTTTCCCATATGGGAATGCTCTACTGACAATCAGTAAAGCATTACAGGGAATTTCTGATCAGTGATATATGGAGAAACAAATACGCTGAGCTTTCTCTGAAATACAGCAGTGTGTGTCAACATCAGTAAAATTACAGTAAAACTACAACCTGTCATTAAGTCTCACATGTTCCTCCTTATATATATTTTCCCAAATCTGCAGCTAATCAACTGTTTGCTCCTGCCTTCACTGAAACGCCTCTTATAGTTGGCTAGAGGCTTCCTCTGCAACATTTGGAGGGAGATTATTTTTTTTAGTCTCTTCTTTCATTTTTTTCCAAAAGGTTTTGTGCAGATTCTTGGCGGAGATCAGCCCTGATGAAGCCTGTGATGCTCTCCCAAAAAATCAGCAATATCACATTTTCTTTTTCAAAGCTTCTCCATTACAAAAGCTCTAAAGCTTTGGCAGAAGTTTCCTAATACCAAACAGATTCATCTTCTAGGCAGTTATGTGATCATAGTAGGAGAATGAGATATCATATATTTCTCTTCTCAATGAGAATTAGCATTTAGGATTGCAAAGTCTGGTGGGAGCGTTGGATGGCTCGTTAGACAGTGTTATGGTACTGCAGGGAAACAGTCAGAATTTGGAACATGACAGATGTTGTAACTGTAGCATTCCTTTACGAAAAGAGACAAGCGGGTAATATTGCTATTTACTTGAGATATCCCACAGATGGTGTTATATTGCCTATGTAGTTTACATTTGTAATATATATTATGTATGGGAATGTTATTTCATATTGAAGACTAAGTTATTGTCAGTTTCTGGTGCTCAGGAATTAAAAGCAGTGCTAGCTTGCGCTATGAGATCACAGCCACCACTACTTCAACCATCCAAACTATAAATGTGTTGTTGTTGGTTGTTTTTGTTTTTTAACAGATTTTTTTAAATATTATATATATCGACATATGCCTAATAAAGAGGTGGCTTTTATATTTTTATCATGTTGTGAATTGTAATGAGCTGATATACTGAGAAATGATGCATTCCTTTAAAAACATATAGTATTAAGTTATTTTTGTTTAAGAAAAAAACACTGAAATGTTTTTTGCATTGACTCAGACCTTA